TGCCTAGCTTGGCGCCTTCGTTGCTGCAGGGATACATAGTGACATTCACAGGAGTCAGAGCCCACGTTCAAAAAATCTTGGGGCGCGTGCAGGGAGGGAGCTCTCTTGGGGAGGAGTACCCTGTCCCCTCGGCTGCGGTGAGGTGCGGGGTCGTCTCTGTGCCTTTGTGCATGCCTGACATACTGCAGACAGGAAGAGCCTAAGAGAGCGTGGGCACCAGGGCGAGTGGCCGTGGCACGTGTGGGGCTTATTTCTCCCTCTCCCCACAGGAAAGGCCGTCTGGGGAGAGAGCGGCGAGCTGGTGTGCACCAAGCCCCTCCCCTGCCAGCCCACGCACTTCTGGAATGACGAGAACGGCATCAAGTACAGGAAGGCTTATTTCTCCAGGTTCCCAGGTCGGTGGGAGAGGCTCGCACAGCCTGGGTGTCTCATTCCATGTGCAGCTCCCTGCCCCCTGCCCCGCCCCCACCAGGCCCAGGAGAGTCACTTGGCTCATGTGCCAGTGGGGTGGCTGTGCGTTTATGATCACCATCTCGTCGTCCTCAGCTGGAAGCCGTCCTAGGAAGCCGTAGTTTGAGTTGAGGTGAAACTCACCATCCTCTGGGCCCAGGGCCCCTCGGTCCGGACCCCTGCACTGGCACAAGTGTGTCTGTGAGGGCTGCTCTGTACATCGGGGTGACGTGCATCTGCTGAGGGCGGTGCCGTGTGGCCGCTGCTGGCTCGGTCTCTCCCTTGGCAGCTCTCACGCCACCGTTCGGGCCTTATGGAGAGGCTGGCGGAGGGCGCTTCTGCGGTGGGATGATTTACAGATACGTCACTGTCACACAGATGGACACCCGTGCGTCATCCTCGAGTGGGGCCTTGCCCCAGAGCAGGGGAGTCTTTTATTTAAAGCTCCGATTCCTGCCTTCCTCCAGTCTGACTTCATAGGCGCCCTCGCGTTTTTGCTGCTATGGAGCTCATCATTTAGTGAGCCTTCTGCTGCAGGGTTATTTAGACTGAGTGCTTGCTGGCTTTCTGCAGCATCTGGAGAGGCAATCTGATTCAGCATAGCCCACGTGTGGTCGGTTAGAGAGTGGCGAGTGGCCGCTGTGGTCGAATTTGCCACGGATCCTTCCCCATTCCTGTACTTGGCTTTGCATGTTTGCATGTCATGTGGAAAAGCCATCATATCTGGCATAGCACGCCCCGTGCAGGAGTGTGGGACATCCTATAGGCATGGCTCAGCCTCCACGGGATACCTGCTGGGAGCAGCTGTCTAGACACAGTCATGCAGATATGCAAGGACATATGTAGAGAAACATCCTTCAGACGACCTTGAAGGAGAGGGCTGGATTCCTGACTTAGGAGGGGAGGTTAACAAGTTAGAACCACCGCTTGAGGCTCCACCAAGAAATGGTAGCCTTCCGTCTTCCGCAGCTATTTTTTTCTGTCACTTTTTGTCATGTGGAAAATGTCTCTCAGGATTAATTTCAGAGTCCATCATTCTCTTTTTTTTTTTTGAGTTGGAGTTTCACTCTGTCACCCAGACTGGCGCTCCCGGCCACCGCAGCCTCGACCTGCTGGGCTCCAGTGATCCTTCTGCCTCAGCCTTCCGAGTAGCTGGAATTATAGGCACACGCTACCACGCCCGGCTGATTTTTTGATTTATTGTAGAGATGAGGTCTCACCTGCCTAGGCGGGTCTCGAACCCGCGGACTCAGGCAATCCACTCACCTCAGCCTCCCAAAGGCACGGGATTACAGGCTGAGCCACCAAGCCCAGCTCATCTTTCTCTTTTTGAAACCCTATTTCTTCTTGGAGAAAATGAGTAATTGGTGGCACGTTATATTCCCATTTTTGCCTTGGCTACCAGGAAACTCAGAACTGAAATCCTTTGTCATGGTAGACCCTTTACCTTGGGCAGGCTTTGATTCTCTCTAAATCCTCCTCTTGTGAGGTTGGTTTTGTAAGGAGTTTCCTCTGATGCTTTCTGGGCACAGGCGGGAGACATGAATGACCATAGGAAGGCAGGTCGGACGATGGGAACCACGGCTCTTGGTACAGACTGGACGTGGATGTGGACGTGGCTCAGGGCTGCACCGAGGGATTCTGGGTTGGTGTCGGTAACGGCTCTCTGCCAGCAGCGGCAGAAGCGTGTCTTCCTTTCTATAGCAGGAAGTAGGTCTACGGACCGTGCCATCTTACAGACGATGCAGGGGAGGGTGTGCACAGGCCGTGCAACCGGTGTGGAGGAAACTAGGGCGTGATGAAGGGGAAAGAGAGGCTGGCACAGGGGGCGCAGGGGGGCCTTCGTGTACACTTTGCGAACACGTGCACCGTGGTGACGGGGATGGGCTTGAGGAGTGTAAGGGGTCTGTGGGCAGTGGGACCGTGAAAATATTTATTTATTTATTTATTTATATATATGTATATATTTTTTGAGTTGGAGTCTCACGCTGTCGCCCAGACTGGAGTGCAGTGGCCGCTCCCGGCCACCGTAGCCTCGACCTGCTGGGCTCCAGCGATCCTTCTGCCTCAGCCTTCCGAGTAGCCGGAATTATAGGCACGCGCTACCACGCCCGGCTGATTTTTTGATTTACTGTAGAGATGTGGTCTCGTTGCCCAGGTGGGTCTCGAACCCGCGGGCTCAGGCAGTCCACTCACCTCAGCCTTCCAAAGGCGCGGGATGACAGGCTGAGCCACTGAGCCCGGCTTTTTTTTTTTTTTTTTTGAGTTGCAGTCTTACTCTGTTACCCAGGCTGGAGTGCCGTGGCACACTCACGGCCACTCCAGTGTCAACCTGCTGGGCTCTGGCAATCCTTTCGTCTCAGCCTTCCAAGGAGCTGGAACTGCAGGCGTGTGCTACCATGCCCAGCTAATTTTTTTGATTTATTGTAGAGATGAGGTCTCGCCAAGTTGCCCAGGCGGGTCTCGAACCCGCAGGCTCAGGCAATCCACTGGCCTCGGCCTCCCAAAGTGCTGGGATTACAGGCTGAGCCACCGAGCCTGGCCCACCTAATACATATTTTAAAAAGAAATTCAAAGCAGACTTGAGGAAGATGGCGGCCACTGCAGGCGGCATGTTCCGCACAACCTGGTCTGTGGTCCTCGGCGGTCACCTGCACCCACAGTCTTTCCATTTTTGCCTTAGCTTTCAGGGAGCTCAGCGCTGAAGTTGTTGCTTTGAAAAACGAGCACGATCCCTGTGCCGATATCTGTCCAGAAGGGAAGGCATGGCAGTTGTTGCTGTGTTGTGTCACCAGAGCCAGCTCCAGTCCTGGGCGCCTCCTGGGCCCCTCTTCTTGCCTGGCTGTCAAGGGACAGAAGTGCTCCAGGGAGTGTCTTCACAAGAGATAAATGGCTGCAGGGCGGATTTGCTCCTCCTTTTTCTCTGCCTTTCCGGGGCTGCAGTAATCAGGTCCTAGTCCGACAAACCGCCCAAAAAAGCCAGAAATGTCTGTCAACTTGGGAACCTGACCCCACACAAACCAGACTGGGCATTGGTCCTGGCACTGAGTTCTCGGACAACAGGATCCCGGCGCAGGGTGGCCCTGAGCGCCTGTCTCTTGGAACCCGGTGCCTAGATGTGCCTCCGCAGACACACAGCGTGTCACTCACAAGCCCAGGGACGAGGACTCGTGTGTGCATCTTGTGAAAGTCAGTTGGGAAGAGTCTGCCTCATTCTCCAGCTGGGGAGGGGGGAGACCTGGAGACCTGCCTTCTCGTGGCCTCAGCCCTAGCAGCCTCTGTTTCTTGGTCTCCATGCCTCCCGGGGACTGCACGCTCCCTGCAGACGGGCGTCCTGCCCTCGTCCTCGTGAAAGGCTTGGTGGGGCCATGACAATGTCTCTGTGACGTCATGTGAGTGTGTGAGGAGATTCCAGTGGCTGTCGGGGGAGGCTGCTGTCGTGGGCTGTTTGGGTTAGCACTTTGCTTGGAGCTGGGAAGTGCTGGAGAGATGTGTCCCGAGGTCTGGGGACCGGCTGCTTTCCTGAGATGCCGCCTTCTGCTCTGGGTAGCGTGTCCCCATTGCGGAGACTCTGCGAGCCTTCCTTCAGGAGGCCAGCCCACTGCTGGGGCTGAGGCTTCTGCCACAGCGATGTGCCTCGATGGGTCCAGTCAGGCCTCTCTATGGCCTGATCAGGGCTAGCTGTTTGTCGCCAAAAGCTGTCTGGCGTGTGAACTCCTTTGGCAACGCTCTTGGATGCCTGGCTCCACTGCCTGTGGGACCTGAGAGAAGGATGTGGCAGGGGCCCTCTCCCTTCTCGTGCTGTCAGAGTTGGGGTTTGATACATGGGGTGGATTCGCCTCACTGCTCCCAGGACGGGGGCCTCTCCCTGACACCACCAGGCTCCAGCTGCATTTGTGGCCATGCGTGTGGCTGCTGGCCCCCAGGGAGGGCTTGGGCCCTCTGTTCTTTCCTCTTCCCCTGCCCTCCATGTCTCTGGGTTGTGCCTGCCACTTGGCTCTCTGTCCACGTGGCTGATGCCTTCGTTCAGGCCCACGTTGCTGGGACTGGTGTAGTAGTAGCCAGCCTCCTGCCTGGTCATGCTGCTTTTTTTGTTCCATATCAAGTCCTGGCCCCCATCCGTCCAGACCGGGCACCTCCCAGTCGCTTCCTAGGGTGTGGCGGTGGCTTGTTCCCACCCAGCCTCTGCTCAGATTGTCTCTGAACGTTCCACTGACCCCGTGCTTTGGTGAGGTTGTCTGCTCTCCTTGAATTCCCATGGCCTTGTTGGTGCCTGCAGGAGTGGCGTTCCTCCACACCAGGCTGGGCTGTTTGTCCAGGTTAGCGCCCGTCTGGTTCCTTCTGCCCCAGCCCCCACCGGACCTGGTGGCCCAGGATATCTGTGAACTGGCCCCCTGTTGCTGCCACTCCAGTCCCAGACACTCATGTCTGTCTAGGCAGCCCGTCACGGCCCCTTGTCCTGGGGTGACCGAGTGCCTCTGTGTCCTTGCAGGTGTCTGGGCACACGGTGACTACTGCAGGATCAACCCCAAGACTGGGGGAATCATCATGCTTGGCCGGAGGTGAGGGGTCTGCGGCGGGCTTCCCTTCCCTGGAGCCCCCCAACTCCCGGAGGCACCAGGGGGGAGGACACGCTCCCTGTGAGAATTGGTGACCCTCCTCCTGCGCACCCCACTCCAGTGCCTCTGCTGGTGTCCGGGACCCTCCCTCCCCCCTTGTCCCCTCACCCTGGGGTGCTTCATGCTCTCTGGCCTCTGTGCCTGTGTGCACGCTGTTCCCTGCCTGAATACCCCCTCCCCGAAAGTGTCATCTGCTCAGTCTGCAACGTGGCTCACCGTTCCCCGTCTTGGGTGCTTCTGGTGTTGTCCTGGGTGGGGCGTCCCTGTGCTGGTGTCTGGGTCTGGGCCTGATCCACGTTCCCTGCCCTGCAGTGGGGGTCTCAGGCAGGGTGCCCACAGCAAAGGTGCAGCAGGGTCTGCCCCTGGGAGGGGACATGTGTGCAGGAGGGAAGGGCACGGAGGTGACAGGCGGGACCTCCTTGATGCGTGGCTTCCAACTGGGAAGGAAAAGGAGGGGCGGCTGGATAGAGGTGAAGGGCTTCACCCCGCGTCACGCCTGCACAAGCTGCTGGGTTCCCGACTCGCCTCTCTTTGCAGCGACGGCACGCTCAACCCCAACGGTGTGCGCTTTGGCAGCTCAGAGATCTACAACATCGGTAAGTCCTTCTATGCTCCGGCCTCAGGCTTTCCAGGAAGGATCTGTGGCCACAGGAGCCTGTCGCTCTCCCCAGACCCCGCTGTTTGAACGACTCTGGCTCCTTTGCCTCGGGCACGAGGATGGATATTATGGCACAGCCCCCTCCCAGCACGTACCTGTCCCCGTGGTTGTGGCCCATAAGCCTCTGAACGGGACTCTTTTTTTTTTTGAGCTGGAGTCTCACTCTGTCGCCCAGGCTGGAGTGCAGTGGCACCCTCATGGCCACTGCAGCCTCGACCTGTTGAGTTTCAGCGATCCTGCCGCCTCAGCCTTCCAAGTAGCTGGAACCACAGGCATGCACTACTATGCCTGGCTAATTTTTTGATTTATTGTAGAGACGAGGTCTCATTGAGTTGTCCAGGCTGGTCTCGAAGCTCTGAGCACAGGTAATCCTCTTGCCTCGGCCTCCCAAAGTGCTGAGATTACAGGCTTGAGCCACTGTGCCTGGCCTAAATGGGATTCTTTTTATTTTTTATTTTTATTTTTTTATTTTTGAGTTGGAGTTTCACTCCATCAACCAGACTGGAGTGCAGCGGCCGCTCCCGGCCACCGCAGCCTCGACCCACTGGGCTCGGGCGACCCTTCCGCCTCAACCTTCCGAGTAGCTGGAATTACAGGTGTGCGCTACCACGCCCGGCTGATTTTTTGATTTATAGTAGAGATGAGGTCTCGCTGCCCAGGCGGGTCTCGAACCCGTGGGCTCAGGCAACCCATTCACCTCAGCCTCCCAAAGGCGCGGGATGACAGGCTGAGCCACCGAGCCCGGCCCAGATGGGATTCTGAAGGTCCCTCGGCCTAACCCTTCCCTGTTACGTCTCATCCTCACAGTTGGATAGTTTTGTCTACTCTTCAAGGGTGAAGACACAGACGCCCAGAGAGGGTGCAGGGGGCTCCCCATAGCACCATGTGGGACACCATGTACAGACAGTGCAGGCTGCACAGTTTAATCACCTCTGGGCCTGAAGCCTGGGACACAGGCCCAGCCCTGGCCACGGAGGCAGGTGGCCTCTTAGTAGTGCCTCGGTCAGCATAGTAAAGCTGTGTCCAGCTGAGTGCTGCCAGGGTGGAGAAGTCCCGATCCGTCTGGTTCTGGCCTTCGTTTCTCCCCTAGGCATTCATTCCCACTGTATTTTGAATTGATAAATTCAAAATGTATTAAGTGAGGCCAGCGCCCAGCCCCTGGCCCCCTGGTGAGACCTCCCTCTGGCCAGGCTCACGCTCTCTCTGTCTACCAGACATGGGTTTCCTCCCACTGGTGAGGGGGTTTCCTTGGCAAATGAACACCTGAGGAGTTCCTCCTGGGTGGGCCGGAGGAAAGGACACGGCCATCCCCCCGCCGTCAGGCCTGGGCCCAAAACCCGCCTCGTGTCTTGTCAGGTGATGGCCATGAGGCATCGCTGTCCGAGGGGCCCTTTGCACAAGCACATGTCCTCTCTGTCTCCACAGTGGAAGCCTTCGAGGAGGTGATGGACAGCCTGTGTGTCCCCCAGTACAACCAGGACGGGGAGGAGAGAGTGATCCTCTTCCTGAAGATGGCCTCCGGGCACACCTTCCAGCCTGACCTGGTGAAGAGGATCCGGGACGCCATCCGCAGCGGCTTGTCTGCGCGGCACGTCCCCAGCCTCATCCTGGAGACCAAGGGTATCCCGGTACGACCTGTCCCCCGCCACCCGCGTGGCGGTGCCACCGCCACCATCTCCGCCTGAGCCCACACGTCAGGTGCCCGCGTCCCCACAGCCAGCTGGTGCTTCATGTCGAGTCGGTCTGCGTTGCCCGGCAACACCACCCCCACCTTTCTTCCACCCATCCCGAGGTTGCACTTGAACCAACTTCTGCCAAACACCAGTTCGGGGTTGGCAGGCCCAGCCCAGTGCAGTGTGAGCGCACTCTCAACACCGTTCGTGAGAAATTTGATCTTGCTTTTGAGAGCTCTGCTGGGTGCCGCTGCTCCTGGCTTTTAATGTCAAGTTTGGCCTGTGGAGGCCTTGGGTCTTTCTAGAGGCAGGGCGCAGAAGGCCGTTCCCGCATACTCTGCTCTGGCTCCGAGCGGAGCTGCCCAGGCCCATGGCGACTTTGCTTGTTGAACCGATGCCCCTGCAGGCCGAGATAAGTTGCCGTGCGTGTGCGTGTGATGTGCGTGGGGGTGCGTGCACACATGGCAGTCTAAACACACAAAGCTGTGGGAGGCTGTGTTTGAAGAAGACGGGAGGAACACTAACGGGCTCACGGGTGACGCTGATCCCTGCCCAGGAGTTGGGACGGGGCTGTGAGGTGCAGCTGGAGGTGGGTCCACCAGGAGGTGCCGGGATGGGAAGGTACTGAGACGTGCAGTGCCCTTGGCTGTGACTCCTGGGTGGACTCGGATCTCTTAGCCTTCAAAGGAGTTCTTTCAATAGCCTTAAACAGCCTCTTCAGGAATGGGGCCTGGCAGGGAGTGCTGTCTCTTGTCTCTCTCTCTCGTTCTCTCTCTATCTCCTCACTCTGTCTCTATCTCCTCACTCTGTCTCTCTGTCTATGTCTTTCTCTGTGTGTCTCTCTCTCCTCTGTCTCTCCCTCTGTTTCTCTGAGTGCCTACCTCTCTCTCTGTATATCTCTTTCTCTCCTCCCTGTCTCTGTCTCTCTTTCTCAATCTCTGTTTCTGTCTGTCTCTTTCTGTCTCTCTCTTTCTGTCTCTCTTCTCTCTGTGTCTGTCCTCACTCTGTCTCTCTGTGTATGTCTCTCTTTTGCTGTCTCCTCACTCTTTCTGTCTCTGTGTGTCTCTCTGTCTCTCTCTATGTCTCTGTGTTTCTGTGTGTCTCTGTCTTTCTCTGTCTCTCTCCTCTTTCTCTCTCTCTCTCCTCTATCTCTTTCTCTCTCTTTCTCTGTGTCTGTCTTTCTCTGTTTCTCTCCTTTCTCTCTCTCTCTCTTTTTCTGTCTCTGTCTTTCGGTCTTCTCTGTCTCTCCCTCTGTCTCTCTGAGTACCTGCTTCTCTGTGTGTGTCTCTCTGTCTCCATCTTTCTGTCTCTGGTTGGTGATTCTAGGTGACTCTGGGGACACTGGCTCTCTAGCATGGGGGGAGGGACCTAGTTGGACAAGACCCTTTCTGTCTTTCCCTGAGGGGGTCTAAGGTTGATTGTTGGTGGGCCTGTGCTGTCTGCATCTGGAACGTTTCAGGGAACTGAAGTTGGATTTTGCCCTCTTGGTCTTATTTTGTTGAAAAGGAGCCAGTGTTCTTTGCAGCCCAATTGGTGATTCCCAAACTGCGTGTGATCACGAGAACAGAGCAACTGAGAGAGAGAAAGCGCATGACTGTCTTTGCTTCAGGCCTGGCTGTCCCCGCTTGGGGGGGTTCCCGGCCCTTCCCTCCCGGGTGCCGTCTTCTCTGTAGCCCGATTGCTCTGTGAGGTCATTCGAGGGGCCTCGGATTTTTGAGTGTCCCGTGGAGCGCTTGGGAGAGAGGTCACCCTGTGGGTCACTGAGCTGGAGGGCCTGGCCCGGCCCTCATGGGGAGAGGGAGCGCCACGCGACCCCAGCCTGCCTGGGTCAGAAGAAGATGCTGAGATCCCACTTGCAGAATCCTGGGGCCTGGCTGAGGTTTGTGGGCGGGCCACCCTGACCGCCCGCAAGCAGTGTGAGCCCAGGCGCACGGAGCGGCTCATTGCGAGGGCAGCGGCAGAGGTGGGAGGTGGCATCTCCACCCCCAGGGGTGGGAGGCCCTGTTCCCTGGGGAGCCAGCGCTATTTGAAGCATTTGCGGGGGGCTCTCCAGGCAGCGCTCAGCAGAGATCCGGGACTGCGGCCAGCCCTGCTCCTCGGGTCTGAGCGTGACACTGCCCAGTCTGGTCTGCGATGTGAGGGAGAGCCCCTCGCCCGCCCACCACAGCCCAGGGAGAGAGCATGGCACAGGCGGAGCGAGGGGACACTTGGGCCACGTGGTCCTTGCGCTGTTCTCTGAGGGTCGTGACACGGGCTCTCCCAGCCCCGCCCCAGTCTGGGCCTGCCTCTCCCTCTGAGGCGTGACTGTGGGCAACTGACGTAGCCCTCCAGTCTCGGTTTCCTTATCTCTAAAGCGGGCTGGTCACGGAGCCTGCCGAGTGGCTGCCATGGGCCATGGGCTTCTGTCTGGGTGCCACCTCCGACATTCTGAGCAGGTCTTTATGACACTCGACCTTTCCGCACTTGACCTCATGTGCTGCCTGCTCAGACGCCAGAGAGGCTTTCCCTGAATGTCCTGTTGCAAGCTGTCCTCTGGCCTCCCTCCTCATCCTGACGGCGTTTGCTCTGGACCTAGGTGTGTTCTGGCGTGTTCACATCCTTCTGTCTGGAGTGGAGGCCCCTTGAGGGCAGGAGCCTTGCGGGCTCCCCTCCTTCTCCCCCGAGCAGAGAGTGGGCCCCCCACATGCCTGGTGGGTGGACGAATGAGTGAGCGAGCGCGTGGGTCTGCTCTTCCTGCCGCCTGGCCTCGGTGGGATGAGCTCGTCTTTTTCGTGCTCATTGTGCAGGTGAGGAAACCCCAAGAGGTGGGGCCCTGCCCCAGGAAGGGGGTGCACAATCAGTCCTGCCCTCTGCTCACGCACAACACGGACCTGGGGACTGTGGCTGGGTCGTGGCCCCGGTAGCGGGCTCGGGGCCTTGGAGGGCTCCTCTGGCAGCCACATCCCGAGTCCCCAGATCTCAGCCCTGGGCCATGGCAGGACACCCGGCCCTTCCTGACAGAGGCCTCCCACTTCCACGACCCACTTGGGGTCACGCAGGAACTGGAGATGGGCTCCCGCCTCTCCCTTCACTCTTCTCCCCAGAGGAAGCAGCAGCGGGATTTCTTCTGGGATGAGGCTGTCGGCAGTGGAAGATGCAGTCCCCGCTCCCATGAGCCATGCCTGGACCTCTGTGTAAAGCCCAGCAGCACGTGGCACTCACAGGGCAGGCGCTGGCACCACCCCCAGTGGCAGGAGGTCCCAGAAGCCAGCACTCACATCCTTAATTAGTGCACATGTCTACTGGATTCTTCACGTGGATGAACTTTAATTACATCTCAAGTTAAAAAAAATAGCACCTGGGCTTGGAGAGCTTGGGGCCATGGCCTTGCTGGGCTCTGCTGTTCTAGAAGCTTCTGAACCAGCACCGCTGAGAGCCCACTTGGGTTAGAGCTGGCGCACATGTGCCATGACTCGGAGGGAGCTTGGCGTGTCTGGACAGTCTGGCGGTGGGAGAAAGCCATACCCCTTTCCACAAGGCAGGGGCTCCCGAGGGAGCGTTTGTGCCTGTGAGGCAGCTGGACACAGGGCTGGGAGCCAGGCCTCTCATTAATGTAGGGACAACAGCCAGTCTTTATGATATAATAAAGTGTAACACATATAAATAAAAGTAAAATCATAGTGAAATATAGGTCACCGTGGTGGCTCGTGCCTGTAATCCCAGCACTTTGGGAGGCTGAGACAGGAGGATTGCTTGTGGCCAGGAGTTTGAGACTAACCTGGGCAACATAGTGAGACCCCACCTCTACAGAAATGTTAATAATGAGTTGGGTGCGGTGGCACACCTGTCGTCTCAGCTGCTGGGGAGGCTGAGGCAGGAGGATCACCTGAGCCCAGGAGCCTGAGGCTCTGGTGGGCTATGATCGGGTCACCGCACTCCCGCCTGGGTGACAGAGCGAGGCTCCATCTCTAATGTGTAAGTTTTTCGCTCTCTGGTCCATAGCCCCCCAGGACAGTACTGCCACTCTCATTTTACACCAGTGGAAACAAACTCAGTTTTAGGAATTCTCCCAAAGTCCCCGGACGTGGTGGCGGAAGCCACATTTTTGTTGAAGCATCCTTGCTCAGGGTGCCTGTGGGATTTTGGATGAGCTGTGGGTTCTCACCCTGGGCAGGCAGACCCTGAACTCTGAGAAAGAGATACTCTTCCTTGATTTCCTGTCTGGAATATGCACTGCAGGGACGGGGCCTCTGGGTCCCCCTTGAGGGCCAACTCAACTGTGACATGTGTGGCTGGATTCCGGGGTGGCTGGATTCCGGGGTGTGTGCAGCATCAGGAAATGGGTTCGCTCATGTCATGCTCCCGCATCTCTGAAATAGCCTCGCTTTCTATATGGCTGTTCCCGGGTGGTGTGGAAGGTTCTGGAGTGTCAGAGTTGGCCTTCAGTCCCGGGCCTTGAAGTTGCCTGTCAGAAGAACAGGTTTTTTTTTTTTCCCCCCTCTAGATGTGGAGGGGACAGCTGTCTGTCCAGGGAACTTCAATGAGTGTTTTCAGACATGCTGGGTGAGGTTCTTGAAGCTGAGACCCTGGGGTGGGTGTGCCCGGAGCCAGACTCCTCCTTTGGGTTTTTTTGTTTTTTTTTTTTGAGTTGGAGTCTCACTCTGTCGCCCAGACTGGAGTGCAGTGGCCACTCCCGACCACCGCAGCCTCGACCTGCTGGGCTCTGGCGATCCTTCCACCTCAGCCTCCCACATAGCTGGAACTACAGGCGCGCGCTACCACGCCCGGCTCATTTTGATTTATCGTAGAGATGAGGTCTCGCCAAGTTGCCCAGGCGGGTCTCGAACCTGCGGGCTCAGGCAACCCACTCACCTCAGCCTCCCAAAGGCGCGGGATGACAGGCTGAGCCACCAAGCCCGGCTTCTTCTTTGGGTTTAAAGCCCGTGTGTTCTTCCTGCCCCTCACAGTACACGCTCAACGGCAAGAAGGTAGAGGTGGCCGTGAAGCAGCTCATCGCTGGGAGGACCGTGGAGCACCGCGGCGCCTTCTCCAACCCCGAGGCTCTGGACCTGTACCGCGACATCCCCGAGCTGCGGGACTTCTGACAGGCGCCTGGCGTGTTGTCGGGCCACACCTGTGCACCCTGTGACTTCTGGATGGTCAAGAAATTACTCAGAAACCTGCGTTTAAAAGGACCTTTGTACCCACTGCTCTGGGGAGTCAAATCTGTTTCAGGGTTCAACCTGGTGGATGCTGGGCGTTCCACCCATGGAGGGGATTCTGGCCTTCAGAGGCCACGAGGGAGTGTCTGGGTGCACGTGTGCCACCGTGGTGAGAGCGTGTGTCTCTGCGCACGTGGCGAGCGGTAGGACTGCGGTGCTCTGGCGACAGACACCCCCCCACCCACCCAGCAGCAATCTTGCCTTCAGCCTTGCACCCTTGCCGCGGGTCACCTGTGAAGGTGCAATCTGTTTTCTTCCCTCCCACCTCCGGCTCTGGGTTTCCGCAGGGCCCAGCTTCCCTTGCACTTTAGTTGTTACATGGGCCACTGGACGACTCCTTGCGTCTTTTCCCAGCTGGATGTTAGGATCCGTGGGCTGGCCGCTCCCGCCTTGTCATGCCGTGGACGGGACGCAGTTCCTGGGTGGCCCGTGTGTCACACTCCAACCAAAGAGCACTCTCGACCGACGAGGACCCCGTGGGGCGTGAATTTCCCTCTGGTGGGCCCTCTGCACCACGCAGACCCGGGAGGCCTTGACATGTCAGTTAAGTGCTGGTGTGCGTGGGTGTGGGCAGCAGGTGTCCACCCGTGTTCTCTTGGGGTTGCCGGGCAGTGACAGCACAGTCCCCGTGGGTCCCCAGGAGGCAGGACCTGGATCTCAGGAGGAACGGCATCAGCACACTGCCTCCACCTGAGAGTTCTAGAATGTTCACATTGGGATCGTGCCATCCGTGCTTGGGAGTCGAATCGCGGGTTCTGATGCCTGGTGGCTTGTTTGCACCTTTCACAGCATAGTCATGCGCCCCTGAAACTTTGATGTCCATTTTTGTATTTTTAAAAAACTGAGCACCAGTGGAATACTTTTTTGAATACCTTTTCTTCAGGATTATAAAAATATAAGGAGAACGTGCTGTGAGGAATTTCATGCAATAAATACACACGTATGTGTGTGTGCGCGCACCCACCGATGTGTGTGCAGCGTGTTGTGTGTTTTCTCTGGGGGCGTGACTGCGTCTGCAGGTGGGAGGTTGGCTGCACCAGTGTGCCAGCCCCAGCTGGGCCTTGGAGTTGTTGGGTCCAAACCGTTGGGGTGTTTCCTGGACCCTGCTGGTATGTAGCCACAGTCCCTCGTGACCTACTGGCCCAGGAGCACTTGGGGAGACCAGCACTTGAGCCCCCCCAACCCTGGGCTGCCCCATGGCCCCAAGCCGGCCGGTGTCTGATGTCAGCTCCTTTCTTGTCATGGCGAGAGCTGTGTGTCCCTGGGCGGTGTCTGGCTGCATGCCAGAGTCCAGGTCCAGTGGGCTATCGTCCTCATGTCATAGGAAGTAGGAGGTGGGTGGTGCTCCCAGGGCCGGCAGTGACTCCATGGTGCAGTAACCCAGCTTCTGTCTGCTGTGCCCTGCATCCTGGTGGCTGTCCCATTGCTGGGAGGAGGCAGGCGTAACAAGAGGGCTGGGGAAAGGCAGGAAGCCTGTGCCTCGGGACTTGGTTCCTCTTCCTCAGCAAAATGATGACTTTTCTGGAAACCCACAAGCTCACAGCAGCTGTGCCTCCCTGGCCAGCTGAGGGTGTCTAGGATTCTGAGTATATATGTATTTATTTTGAGAGGGGGTCTCACTCTGTTGTCCAGCCAGCCGTGTAGTGGCACAGTCACAGCTCACCACAGCCTCGACCTCGTGGGCTGAAGTAATCCTCCTACCTCAGCCTCTCAAATGACTGGGACTACAGGTGTGCACCACCACGCTGGCTGATTTTTTGTAGAGATGAGGTCTCACCGTGTTGCCCAGGCCGCCTTCGAGCTCCTGGGATTATAGGCCTGAGCCCCTGTGCCTGGATGATTTGAGTACTTTGAACAGGACCTGTTACCTTTTGGATGTGTTTCCTGTGGCTACTGTAACAACTGGCCACAAACTGAGCGGCTCGATACAGCTTACATTATCGTTGGGGCTGCATCAAGTATGACGTGGGTCTCACTGGGCTGAAATCATGGCTGAGTCTAGAATCTCTCTGGGAGAATCCACTCCCTCACCCTTCCCAGCTTCAAGAGGATGCGTGTTTCTGGTTGCTGGCTCCCCCCGCCCAAGCTGGCAACAGCGGGCCCCGCCTCCTCCTGCTGCGTCTCTGACACGGACACCCCCTCCTGCCTCTACCTGTGGGGACCCTGTGTCACACCAGGCTCCCTCGAATGGTCCAGCGTCCTCTCCCTACCTGAATTCCTGCTGCTTCACCACCTTAGTCCATCTGCAGCCTTCACCCCTTGTCACGTGTCCTGGTCCGTTTTGTTTTACTGTAACAGAATACCTGGGGCTGGGTTGTTTACAAAGAAAACAAGTTAGCCGGGCTCGGTGGCTCAGCCTGTAATCCCGCACCTTTGAGAGGCTGAGGTGAGTGGATTGCCTGAGCCCACGGGTTTGAGACCCTCCTGGGCAGCGAGACCTCATCTCTACAATAAATCAAAAAATCAGCCGGGTGTGGTAGCACATGCCCGTAATTCTGGCTACTCGGAAGGCTGAGGCGGAAGGATCGCCGGAGCCCAGCAGATGGAGGCTGTGGTGGCCGGGAGCGGCCACTGCACTCCAGGCTGGGTGACAGAGTGAGACTCCAACTGAAAAAAAGAAAAAAAAAAAGAAAACAAGTTTGTCTGGCTCCTGATTCTGGTGACTGGAAAGTCCAAGACTGGGCAGCTGTGTGTGGTGAGGCCTCAGGCTGCTTCTATGCATGGTGGGAGGAGAAGGGTAGTGGCGCATACAGAGGCCACATGGTGGGAGAGGAAACTGACTCTCCCCCCACTGCTCTCTTGGGGACCCACCCATTCCCCTGAGAACTCAAGTGACAGTGACAACTTGCCCCTCCAGAAGGTGTTAATCCACTCCTGAGGGATTTGCCCCCATGGCCTGACCCTCCTTCAGGCTCTGCCTCCCAACATAAGCACACTGGGGCCTGAGCATCAACGTGAGTTTTAGTGGGGACAAGCCACATCTGAGCCACAGCACTGTTACCCAACACCTTCCAGGACGGAGATGGACGTGGGCATCTTCAGGGCCGACCTGGCTTTGCGAACACTATCGGGGCCTGTTACTGAGGAAGAGAGAATGGTTGTCATTGGGATGTGTGAGCCCCATGCGAAAGGACCGGGCACAGGAGACCCCTGCCGAGCCTGTTCCTCAGTGTGGCAGGGCTGCGGGCCTCCCTTTCAGGGCTGGGGTCGGACTGGGCCTTGCCAGGCCTTCTCTTCCTGCTGGGTGTTGATGGAGCCAGGGGAGCCATCACGGCTTCCCCAGCAGGCCCTTGAGTGCCACAAGATGGCCCAGGCCACTGGAGCCCACGCATTCCTGTTTACCTGCTGCTGGACAGCTTTGTTGATGATAGGCAGATGACCAGGAATTGCCCTGGGCACGCGCGGCAGAGCCTTCCTGGGATGCTCCTTCACCAGGCCTCTCTGCATGCCCACCCCACCGGCCAGCTGCTGTTTCCTCTACAAGGTGGCTGCAGGCTGCCCGGCCTCTTGTCCTCCAGCTCCTGCTGGGCTATCCCGTGAGGTGCTGCCAGGATTTCACTGTCCCTGCAGCCGGCTGGCCTCTGAGCAGCTGGTGGCCTCCCGGCCTTCCCAGTCCCAGAACCTTCTCCGGCTGTGGGGGTCCTTCCCATGTCACAGTGCCCACCACGGTCTTCTTGCCTGGGCAACTCTCCTCAGGGGTCCTGGAGCCGAATTGATCAACTGCTCTTCCTCGCTGCATTCTTTAAACGTTAAAAAATATGTAAGTATTTATTGTTGTTATGTTTTTTAGAGACAAAGTCTCACTCTGTCCCCAGGCTGGAGTGCAGTGGCGCGATCATGACTCACTGCAGCCTCGACCTCCTGGGCTCAAGCGATCCTTCTGTCTCAGCCTCTGGAGTAGCTGGGACTCCACACTCGGCTTTGCCCTTAAAGCTGAGACTGCATGCCTATCAAAACCCCAAAGAGGCCAGGCATGGGGCTCATGCCTGCAATCTCAGCACTTTGGGAGGCAGAGGTGGGAGGATTGCCTCAGCCCAGAGGTTCGAGACCAGCTTTGGCAACATGGCAAGACCTTGTCTCTACAATAAATAAAAAAATTAGCTAGACATGGTGACACGTACCTGTAGTCCCACCTACTTGGGATGCTGAGGCAGGAGAATCACTTGAGCCCAGCAGGTTGAGGCTGTGGTGACCTGTGATTGTGCCACTGCACCGCAGCCTGGGCAACAGAATGAGACTCTGACCCCAAAACAGATAAAAAACAACAGAGCTGGGAGCACGTCATTGTTTCTGTTCTAGCTCAGGGCGAGAACTGACAGTCCAGTGCCCACTCACGGGTGGGCAAGTGGGGAGATGTCCCTGTCCCCATGAAACCCTAGCCAATTGCAGTTGCTCCTGGTGACATGACTGCAGCCTGTGGCTTTTTATGAGTGTTCCGCAGAGCAGGGGACCAGGCACGAAAGTTCAATGGATATATCTGTGTGTCCCTGGGCCCACGGGTCACCAGGGTAGGATAGCTCCTTAGGTCAAGGAGGGTATGTCTTGTGGAGGAGACAGATGGTCAGCAGGAAACCAGAGGACGTCTGGTGGGATACGATGCTCTTTAGCTGAGGTGGTCGGGGCCTCCCTCAGGTGACACTGATGCCATGGCCTGAGAGATGTGACACTACCATGTGAGGATTGTAGGCCAATAGCCAGGCAGTCCTGAAGAGGCTTTGTGAACTGGCCCAGCAGAACCCAAAAGGCTGTTTTGAAAATATAGGGCGAGAGTGGGGGAGAGGCAGACGGGGACACAGTGGGTCAGATTCTAAGGGCACCCAGGCTGAGTGTGGTGGCTCAGACTCGTCATCCCAGCACTTTGGGAGGCCAAGGCAGGAGGAGGATCACTTGAGGCCTTGGCAACATGGCGAGGCCAGGAGTTCGAGACCAGCCTAGGCAACATAGCAAGACCGTTTCTATAAAAACATTTAAAAATTAAGCCGGGCTCGGTGGCTCAACCTGTAATCCCGCGCCTTGGGTTGCTGAGATGAGTGGATTGCCTGAGCCCGCAGGTTTGTGACCTGCCTGGGCAACTTGGCGAGACATCTCTACAATAAATCAAAAATCAGCCGGGCGTGGTAGCGCGCGCTGTAGTTCCAGATACTTGGAAGGCTGAGGCGGAAGGATCGCCGGAGCCCAGCAGGTCGA